GCGCGCTCAGCCACTAGGCTCGAAGCTGTCGCTCTCGCGTCTGCGCATGCGCAATCCTCGCGCTCTGATTGGTCCGCGTTTTTCCTTAATAATTCAAAAACGAAGCTTCCTACCCCATTTTTGCAAAGGGAAATCTTATTCAGAATCACGTCAGCTACCTCTCACTTCAGGGACCACTAGTTGTGACACCCTGTATATTCTTCTCTAAATCCTTCTTCTATTATAACTACTTTAACTACTTGTATACTAACTTTTACTATAACTACAATTGTCATTGTATAAATAATTCTCCACAATTGAGTTCCCATTGTTTGCGAAACACCCTGTATGTTACAGAATTGAAGCACGTTATATTCCACAGTTTAAAAGGAATAATTTAATCCACTTCACGGTGCAGAACACACAGTATCACGCATTCAAATGTTCCATAGAAAATATTTAATAATGCAAACTCAACGTATTTACGTGTCGAACGTCCACGATATTCGAATAAAAAGTTCAGAGCAAAAAACGAAGAGAAAGTTCCATAGTTTCGAGTTGTAATATATTAATCCGAAACATGGATGCAACGTCGTCCACAATAAAGCTCCCAGACAGTGCAAGCATTAACCAGGTGAAACAGACACCCTTCGTTTCAAGCCAACTTTCCAGCTATTCGCAAAGTTTCGCTCGTAATATTAACATACTAACGATAAACCAGAATCCCTTCGTGTTAAATTGCTTTTCACCGGAGTATGAATGAGGCTGGTCCGCGGTACTCCTCTCTGAAAGCTTATTAACTGTGCCCCTGAAGACATTAGTCGAGATTAGAACGCCTTCTCTAAACAGTGCAGTCTTATCGCACGAGATACTATAACCAGTGTGTAGAATAACTGTGGAGGTTGCTTGTGGAAAAATAGGAAAATGTGGAATAGAATTTTTTTTAATTATTGTTGTTGATGTATCTGTCGATGTAGGAACATTTTTATGGACACTAATATTAAGCATGTAATAACATGTAATAACATGTGTGTAATAATATGTAATATGAAGTGATAGGACACCATAAGTTTGCACAATAATTTTGTTAGTAACAAAAGAATATAGTAACAAAATTATAAGAGAGAGACAACAGTTAGGTATTCTAGTGAATATCCATAAAATCAAAATTAGAAGAAAACTCTTAAAATAAATGCAACTAAAGTACATTACTCTCATAACGAATAGTTAAATAATAAAATTGAAATATTAAACCCAGCCATATAGAGTGTCATAGTAACATGAAATAATTGAACGTGTGATATAAAATATCATTAAGGCATCGATGAGATATCGATAATCGATACTTCCTCCATTATCAGCTCCTTGCTTAAGAACGCGTATCACTTTTCGTCTCGCCCGAATAAACTTACGTCGCTAAAGAAGTTTCACTTTAAAACCGCGTTACTTTAACCGTTAAATTAAAAAAAGATTGTTTACTTCCACTAATGTTTTCAAGGTGAATGCTGAAGAAACGGTATTAAAAATATCGCTAAATGAATGGTTCCGTGCAAGGTTCCTTTATCAAGTTAAACGGTCATGTGGAACCTTTTACGACTTTCGCAGTATGGCGTTATTTTTCCAACGAAGACTTCATTTTTACACTGATTAAAAACATATTAAATTTATACGTTCATTATTGTTGCAATTAACTGACTTCAAAGATGAAATTGTGAAATGATTGAAAAATTTTTCAGTGCTTGAATTAAGCTAAAAATTAAGGTAATTAAGTTTAAAGGGACTTTGAGGGCCTCGTGCTGCAAAATACTGCCTTGTCTTTCTTTATTATTATTCTGGAGAGGAAGACAATAATTTTAGTACAAGAATTTTTTATTAAACAAGTATTTTCTTGTAATTTATTTTTGAAAATATTCTGCAACCTCAGAGTCAAATTTTACACTTCAGTCGTTATTTGATTAAAATGGAAAATATTTTTACAACCAAAGAAATTGCAAAATGGTGTTCTGTATCATTCTACATAATTGTAAAAAAATGATACATACACATATACATAATAATAATTAATTATAACAAAAGAAAGAATGCTATTTATTACAAGATTTGTTTCTCTTTGTGTCAACCGTAAAAACAAAGATGGCCGAAGCTTCTCACTTCCGCCACCAGATGCCCTAACTCGGTAGACCCGATTAATTTTGATAATGCACCGTTTTCATGAGAACGAAGTGTCCGGTTAAGGGATCTGTTTGCACGAAACACGTCGTATCAGTTTCACGAGCAATGGTCGGAAAGCTCGGTTAATCTACGACGGTTGAAGTTTTACGAGCAACATATTTCTTCCTTTAATCGGTTAGAAACCGTTGGAGGCGGAATAAAAATTGATAACGTCTATCTGACCCGTATGGTTAAAACATTTTCTCCTGTTATGGCTAAAAAAGAAATAGTTTAAAAACTCCCTTCTATCAGATTCGACTTGTCCTTAAAATTAATTATTTTTATTTATTTTCATTTTTTACTCTTGTGAAAAGGAGTGAAATTTTTAATAACATTTAAGTAACATTTTTATTAAAATATTCATTCATATATGTATGATTAAATGTTACAGTAGTTGTACACAATAATAAACATATCAATTTTGCAGAAATTTAATATTAATAAAAAATGTCTGACTTGGACCCAACTGAAACAAGAAGTAGCACCTTGTTTTCTGAAGGTCCTATTAATTTATAATATTATTTCAACAATTTACAAAATTTGTAGTGTATGTACCTCCTTTCTCAGATTTTAAATAAAAACTTCTTTGCAACAACCCTCAAGCTATTAGAGCTGCAAGTTTGATATCAGACCTGCAGCTCTATAATGAGACCTCCAGGTCTAACATTAAAGCTACAGATCTAAAATGAGACCTCCAAGTCTATCATTAGAGCTACAGGTCTAAAATGAGACCTATAGCTGTTAAATGAGAGACAGGTCTAAACTGAGACCTATAGCTGTTAAATGAGAGACAGGTCTAAAATAAGACCTACAGCTGTTAAATGAGAGACAAGTCTAAAATGAGACCTGCAGGTTTAAAATTAGAGCTACAGGTCTAAAATGATAGCTAAAGGTCTAAAATCAGAGCCACATGTCTAAAATGAGCTCCAACTTCGACCAACAAACAGTCTGTCCAAAAATTACTTTCCAGTTAAAAAATAACCTTTGAGATGTTCTGTCAAAAAACCTCCGCAGTTAAACTTTAATCAGAGATGTCTTACCTAGGTGGATATCAAGGAACCTTGGGCTGTCGCCGCAAGTTCGACAGGTGTCAAAATTACCCATCCCAAGCAGATCCCATCATGTATACCCGAAACAGTGAACAGTGTACGCTCTCCGTGAGCCGCAGGAACTTCAAAGCGGTGTTCCGTGAGCGACAGACTATGCCCTGAACGGTTTTCCGGCGTCTAACATGCTGGCAGCCCGCGTGTTCTGGAATGGAAGTCAGTGAGCCATCGGCAGAGGACGTGAACCGATCGATAGGCAGGATTAGCACGACTATCGGTATCGATCGTCTCTCAGAGTCGCTCAACTCGACCGTACAGAGCACGTTCGAGGTGGTCACCGTGTCCCAGGAACCCTCGCGCGTGATCTGGACGGTGATTAAGGGCATGGTGATGATCAGCATCATAGTGACGGCTTTGGTCGGCAATGCTTTGGTGATCGCCAGCGTCAGACGACACAGGAAGCTGCGTGTGCCGACGAATCGCTACGTCGTCAGCTTGGCGGCTGCTGATTTTCTCGTCGCGGTTTGCGCGATGACGTTTAACGCGTCCGTCGAACTGATCGGACATTGGGTCTTCGGCAGAATCATGTGCGATATGTGGAATTCGTTGGACGTGTACTTCTCTACTGCCTCTATATTGCATCTGTGCTGTATTAGCGTGGATAGGTATTACGCTATTGTCAGGCCCTTGGAGTACCCGGCCATCATGAGGAGACTCACGGTCACCTGCATGCTGTGCAGCGCTTGGATGCTGCCGGCTCTCATCAGCTTTGTACCCATATTCATGGGCTGGTACACCACCGATGAGCATCTTAAGCTTCTCAGGGAGCATCCTGAGGTATTGCGGTTGGCTGCTTTTGATTTAAATTTGGTACTGATGTTGATCAGAATAGGTCTGATATTGGTTAAGTCACAACTGGTTAGGTTTGATATTGGTTAAGTCATAACTGGTTAGGTTTGATATTGGTTAAGTCACAACTGGTTAGGTCTGCTATTGATTAGGTCATAATTAGTTAGATCTCATATTGGTTAGATCACAGTTGGTTAGGTCTAGTATTGGTTAAGTCACAATTGGCTAGGTCTGATACTGGTTAGGTCACAATATCAGGTCTGGCATTGGTTAGGTCACAACTGGTTGGGTCTGGTATTGGTTAGATCACAATTGGTTAGGTCTAGTATTGGTTAGGTCACAATTGGGTAGGTCTGATATTGGTTAGGTCACAATATCAGGTCTGGCATTGGTTAGGTCACAACTGGTTGGATCTGGCATTGGTTATGTCACAATTGGTTAGGTCTGATATTGGTTAAGTCACAACTGGTTAGGTCTGCTATTGATTAGGTCATAATTAGTTAGATCTCATATTGGTTAGATCACAGTTGGTTAGGTCTAGTATTGGTTAAGTCACAATTGGCTAGGTCTGATACTGGTTAGGTCACAATATCAGGTCTGGCATTGGTTAGGTCACAATTGGTTAGGTCTGGCATTGGTTAGGTCACAATTGGTTAGGTCTGGCATTGGTTAGGTCACAATTGGTTAGGTCTGGCATTGGTTAGGTCACACAATATCAGGTCTGGCATTGGTTAGGTCACAACTGGTTGGGTCTGGCATTGGTTATGTCACAATTGGTTAGGTCTGATATTGGTTAGGTCACAATTGGTTAGGTCTGATATTGGTTAAGTCACAACTGGTTAGGTCTGATATTGATTAGGTCATAATTGGTTAGATCACAGTTGGTTAGGTTTAGTATTGGTTAGGTCACAATTGGGTAGTTCTGATATTGGTTAGGTCACAATATCAGGTCTGGCATTGGTTAGGTCACAATTGGTTAGGTCTGGCATTGGTTAGGTCACAATTAGTTAGGACTGATATTGGTTAGGTCACAACTGGTTAGGTCTGATGTAGGTTAGGTCATAACTGGTTAGATCTGATATAGGTTAGGTCACAACTGGTTAGGTTTGATATTGTTCACATTGGTTCTTTAGTTAATATTGTTACCTCAAGAGGCAACGTTGAGAGGCACTGCTAGACCCACATCTCTCAGAACCATTTCATTCTTTGGATTGAAACCTTGAAATTCTTGAATCCCCAATTTTCCATTTCTCCAAATTTAATCAAATCTCTAAACTCTCAAGTTGCCAAATTCTTAAATCCCTAAATATTCAAATCTCCAAATTCCTAAATCTTGAAATTGTTAAAATCCCCAAATCCCCATCTTCCAAAATCTCAAATCCCTAAATTCTGAAACCTTGAAATCCTTAAAATCCCCAAATTCCCATCTTCCTAAATTCTTAAATCCTTAAATTCTCAAGGCTTAAAAATTCCCAAATTCCCAAATTCTTATCTTTCTAAATTCTCAAATCCCTAAATTCCCAAACCTTGAAATTCTTAAAATCCCCAAATCCCCATCTTCCTAAATTCCTTAAATCCCTAAATTCTCACAGCTTAAAATTCCCAAATCCCCAAATTCCTATCCTCCTAAATTCTCAAATCTCCAAATTCTCAAATCCCTAAATTCCCAAACCTCGAAATTCTTAAAATCCCCAAATCCCCATCTTCCTAAATTCCCAACCCCTAAACTCCCATCTCCCTAAACTCTCAAATCTCCAAAATTCTACCAAAGTTTTCGCAACTCAGTTCAACATCACAAATAACCGGTTTAATTAAAGAGTGTTCTATTTCCAATTAATAAATACGAACGAAAATGCTCACAGCCCAGGAAGCATCTGTTTCAAGATTCATTCGAAGAGTATCCTTGGGGTGGTCCCTGCGGTGCGTCGTCCCTGATGAATCCCTTCTTTCTATCTTCAGATCCTCTGTGAAGGACGTCCGAGAAAAATACGAATAGGGAATACAAGAATAGCTGGCAATAAACCAGCGAAATAACAAAGGACGCTGAATTTAACACGTTAATAAGATCTTCAAATAAAATCTACTATACTCACATGTCCCTACTTAACATTTGAACTCCAACTTAACATTTGAACTCCAAGTTAACATGTGAAATTTGCAACTTTCAAAATAAACTGTAAATAAAATTCAGGTCTTAATAATATTTTGCAAATTCGCACTGCTAAATTTTTACTTAAATTCGTACAAAATAATATATTAAAATTCTATTTTTAGGGAGTCAATTTGATCACTAAAATGTTCTGTAGGAACTCTTATTTTCCCAAACTCCTATAATGGATCTCCCCGTCCAAATAAAAAAGAAATCGAATAAAATAACAGGGAAGGAAAAGAAATAACCTTCTAGTACCCTCATATCGTCCAGATAAAAACATTCCATAAGATCAATTAATTTTGACCCATCTGTTCTCCTCACACAACAAAGTTCAACATTCGTTCTTCGATAAAGCTCAATATTTCATTTATTTGGCAGCGGTCATCCGTAAAGTTACGCGAGTAATTTTTCTCTTTAATCTTTCACTCTTTCTCGAGATTCAAACAAATTTTACTTCTAGCTGTTCACAAAATAATTTATAGACTTTCGTGATATCTGTGTTTAAATTATTTAACTTGCAACACGATTCATTATTTTTGGGACAATCTTTTATTTAGCAAATTTATTTTAAATAAAATTAATCAAGCACTTAGTGAATTCTTCCCTAAATTCCTAACGCAATAGAAAATTTATTTTCCATCGAATAAATTCGAAATGGGTCTGTTGTGCAGCAGACGTCTTTTCGCTGCCCAATAAGCGACGTTCAATTTTCCCGTGGCGGTTAATAGAATATTTTATCGGATATTTACACTTCAATCGCGGAAGAAAGTATTTTAATTTCAGGAAAATCGAGACGTGGACAGAATGATGGGAAACGATCGCCGCAAGATGAACAGCCTGCGGAATTTGCATAGAGATGATTTATCGTTCGCCTTTTATTCGGACGTGTTATAAACGGAAACTCGGGATTAATAGCCACGTTGCCATACGCTGCGTGTCTTCCGCGAAATATCAGCGTTCACCAATTTTCTGCGTTTCCGATCGTTCGAGTCTCAAAGGCTGTTTCCTTTGATTTTGGTTCGTTGAAATGTTCGATAGGAAGTTGAAAATGGGGTTGAAATGTCTTTAGCTGTTTTTTATGAAATTTGTTTAATATTATTTTTAATTATTTTAGTTAATTTTAATTTTATTTTATTGGTCTTCAATTGTTCTATAGTGTGTTAATTTTGTAATGACAAAAATTTATTTTTTGTTTATTATTTTAGTTAATTTTTATTTCATTTTATTTGATTTCAATTGTCCTTACTGTATTAATTTACAAATATTAAATATAGGAATTGGGCAATGTGGGAGTTGGACAATGTGGGAATTGGACAATGTGGGAATTAGACAATGTGTGAATTGGACAATGCTGGAATTGGACAATGTTAGAATTGGGCAATGTGGGAATTGGACAATGTGGGAATTGGACAATGTTAGAATTGGGCAATGTTGGAATTGGACAATGTGGGAATTAGACAATGTAGAAATAGGAGAATGTAGGAATTGGACAATGTGGGAATTGAACAATGTGGGAATTGGACAATGTGGGAATTGGACAATGTGGGAATTGGACAATGTTAGAATTGGACAATGTTGGAATTAGACAATGTGGGAATTGGACAATGTTAGAATTGGGCAATGTTGGAATTGGACAATGTGGGAATTAGACAATGTAGAAATAGGAGAATGTAGGAATTGGACAATGTGGGAATTGAACAATGTGGAGTTGGACAATGTTGGAATTGGACAATGTGGGAATTGGACAATGTTAGAATTAGACAATGTTGGAATTGGACAATGTGGTAATTGCTCAATGTAGAAATTGGACAATGTGGGAATTGGACAATGTAGTAACTGGACAATGTAGGAATTAGACAATGTGGGAATTAGACAATGCAGAAACTGGCCAATGTAGAAAATTAGGAAATGTAGTAATTATATTTTATATATTTTATTTAATTTTTATTTAATTGTCATTCATCTTCAATTGTCCAATACTATATTAATTTCACAATAAACAAAATTTACAAATACAATTTTAGAACCTCGAAAAATATAAAAATCTCGTAAATTTAAAAATATAGAACCGTAGATTTTATTTGCAAATTGCAGACATAAATTGCCTCAGTTAATTGGACTGTTTAATTACAATAATAATCATCTTCCAAATAATGAATTCTACTACTCAGACCAGTTCTGTGTAAATTCATAAATTTGTCCACGCATTCGTCCAATTATCATTATTAAAACTAATTAACAATAAAATCAATTATTGATTATTAGTTTAGCTTTCCATTTACTTTACAACAAGATGGCGCTTGAGTTCCAACTTAACTTCCAACTTGTATACCTGGGTTTATTTTACTTATTCTGCCATTTACTTGAAGATTAACACTTTCTTAAAATTCCATATTATAAGTTGAAAACCACTGACTGGCCTTGTCGTAGACATGCATATTCATTGATTTTTTAAGGCAATTTTCTCGACAACGAAGTCTTGTTTAATTAACTTACCTTTGACATTAACTTATTTATGAATCAATAACCGTGACAGTGTTCACAGCTGCTTTTTATTGCAATTGCAGTGCGATTTTCTTCAATTATAAACATTAATGCACCACTGTGATCCCATAAATTTTTCACGTTCATATTACATTCTCTTTTCCGTGTTTTAGAAGTTTCTTACAGTAACTTTGTAGAAAGAAGTTTAAGAGTTAGAGGTTTTAATGGTTTCTAGTCTTTTTATGATTTTTGGTTATTGTGGAGACTTTAGTGAGTGTTGGTGAAAGGTGCAGATTTTGTTGACAGAAGTGAACTGTTTTTAAATTTTTATTTTTCTGATTATTGAATTTTT